GTGGACACAGGATGAAAACAACTACAAACCGAACTAAAACATGCTCCCAAAGCCACCATCTTCTGTGCTTTCTGGGGATGGAATCAATAGCATTTAGACAAAAAAGCAGTTTCTCTACAGCCAGGCTTGTGCAGCTCCACTGCTCTGGTGCATGGAGGGCCCCAAACTGCTGTCCTGGTGTAGCAGAGGTTCCCTGGCACAGGGGGATCCCCAGCTGCCACCAAGCTGACAGAGCTGGTTTTGTGTCACCTCCTCCATCTGCAGGGGCTGGGCAGGGTGAGCAGGATGCTCAAAACGTGCCAGCACCTGAGACAGAGTCCCAAGGGCTGTCAGGGACCAAAGCTGGCAAAATGAGCTCAGTCCCCCCCGACTGACACTCAGGGCTGACACAGTGGTTTTGCTCTGTGGATCCCCAGGAGAGCGGGGATTTCCTGAAGGTTCAGCCTGCCCAGCCTCGTCCCTAACAGCTTCTGGCCTAAGGAGAAAAGAGCTGGTCAGAAAAGAAAGCTTCTTGCTGAACATGAAGGACAGAAGGGATTTGAATTTCATGACACCTTGGGGACAGACTTTTACAGGGATTTTCTTGTTCTTGAATGAAAGAACACAAAAAGAAAATGTAGGAATCTAACACACTCTGAGTGGTCTTGGATGAGACCCATGGTCAGGGCAATGGTTCCTGTGTGGGGAGCAAAACTGCACAAATTAATCCACTGCTGGCAGTGAAGGTGATTGAAAGCACTGGGTGATTTAGAAGCATCAAATCGCACACAGGGGCCCAAAATCACAGAGTACTGAGGGTTGAAAGGGACCTCTGGAGATCATCTAGTCCAACCCCCACTGCGGATCCATTTTCTAAAGAAATATCTGATATGTCTGAAATTTTCTGTGAAATACCTGAGCTCACTATTAAAACATCTCAGCTGATCATCAGCCTGATAAACCACCACAAGCATCTGCCTTGCTTTTCTCCTCCCCAAGAAGGATTACTGCTGCACCAAAAATAATTTAGAGCTGCTGTATCAAGCAGACAGTTCTGAGTGTCAGATGTGGTTAGACAGTTACTGTTTGAATAATGACAATCATTTTTCTTTGTAAAGTAAAAAGCAGGACAGCTGAACCGAAAAGAACTAAATCTAAGGTAGGCAAGTTGGTAACACTCAAGACATGCTGCATGTCCATCATCTGTATGTGGAATTGAGCCTTGTATCTCTGAGTTGCAGATGGGGAACTGGCACATGGCAGCTGAGCAGCTTCCCCAGGGCTACAGAGGAATCCTCTGTCTCTGCAGCATGAGCATGGACAGTCCAGGGCATGACAAGTGCAAATAACTACATTTTTAGCTGGGTTTGTGCTTTAAATAGTTCATCTGATTGCTCTGAAGGTCATGGGAGAACTAAGTTCTATTTGTCAACATATTTCTGTGGTTGTTTGGGTAACTTTTACCATTGTGGGTGGTTTTGGTTATGAATAATATTAAGATGAGGCCTCGGCTGAAATGTGCTGATCACTCTCTCATCCTATGGCTTTCACTTGCATTTGAAGCTAATCACTGCTTGTCAGCACTAACCTGGACACCTAATGCATCCTGAAGGGTCTCCTAAACATGGCCTATCTTCACTCCCAAAGTCCATCTCTGAGGCAGAGGTGTGCAACAAAGGTTTCCCTGACAATTTTTCATGAATATTCCCTTCCTCTGAAGATTCTTTACACTATTTGACATCAAAATTTACAAATAAATATATATTTACTTTTTACAGAGAAATGTGGAGGTATATGGAGGACTATGTGTGTGTGTATATATATATATATATATATATATATATATATATATATATATATATGTATGTGTGGCAATGTTGAACTTGCATCAGTTCCTAATGGGTGCATATTCAAATCCAGCCTCTATGACTTGATGGCTGGAGCCTTCCTTCCAGTAACAACTTGTTTTGTAATTCTGTCTAGGAGGGGAAAGGCAGGAAGTTGCAAGAGGGCTGCATGGGCTGGGTTAGACACCTCTTGCTCTGAGGCAGCACCAGCAGGAGGAGAAGAGGGACGAGTGCCTCCTTCCAAGAAAGCACATGGCAGGTCTCTACACCCACAGTACCATCAGAAATGAGTACTGATGTCATTGTCAGTAAGGCAGTCAGTATGGATGGTACCAGCTGAGCAGCTCTAGACAAAGAGGTCCTTGCACACGGCAAAACCCACCTGAGAAGACAGGTAAATACTTGCCATCACCTGCCTTGAGGACCACAATGTTTTGGTTGTGCTGTTGGTGCTATTCAACCTCGAGAGCCTACAGCTCCTGCAGAGGTGGAAATAGTTCTTATCTTTACAAGGCAGGATGTAGACAGGTTAAGTGTGCTAAGTGCCCAGTGTTACATGCCCTGTGGAGCAGTGAAAGCTCTGAGCACAACCAAACCACGGTCTCAGGAAGAAGGACAAACGAAGAGAAGAAAATAATGACAGGTCCTGCCAGCAGTGGCAGGAGGAAGTTGAAAGAGGCAAAGAGAAACAGTAATTGTGTCATGTTGTGTTATGTGTGTCATGGTCACTTCCAGGAGAGCTCAGAGGCTGGCACAGCACGCCCATGTTGAGAGGCACCAGCTTCAGGAATGAGGAACTGACACAGTGGGGCATGTCCCACAACACTTAAAAAGTTTGTGGCAAAGCTCAGAATAGAAACAAAGCCCAGAACACCAAGGCTGTGGGTTAACCATGAAGACAGCGGACAAGAGTTGGTGAGAGGAGGTCACAACAGCAAAGGGATGAAAGCTGGACTCAGTAGAAATATGGAGAAAGAAGAATAAAGAAGAGGGAGGGGGAAGATGGGGGAAGGGAAGAGGAGTGAAGGGAAGCGAGAGACACCGAGACACTGATTGCCCAAGAGCCTGTGCAGCAGCAGCAGCAGCACAGCTGCTCATGCCAAGCCTGGTTGGGTAACCTTCATCTCAGTATCCATCCGTGAAAACCCCAGCAAGACCTAACAGCTCACTTTATCTCAGAAGAGCCGTCTGGATAAAAGGGATTTGAGGGTAAAGCCTCCATAATCCTTTGGGTTTGCTTTCTTTTAATACTATAAAGCACAAACCCAAACTTTCTAGTCAGGAAAAACATAGCTTTTGTTATATTCTGAGTCACTTTTCCTCAGCAGCAAACAAAGTGGTTTTTCAATTCAAGTCCTGAACATTTCAGAATAAAATGCTTTGCAAAGTCCTAAAGTAAATCCCAATTCTCCAAGTCACACTTCCAGCTGATGTGAACTCACTGAGGTCAGTAAAGAGATGCCATGAGACCAATCTCCCCTGGCCTGACTTGGGTGGCATAACTGATAAACTGATCTCTTGAAATCAATTCAAGATGTTCCAGTCAGCCAAGCAGAAGCCTGGAATTTCACTACTAACTTGCTGCTGTTCTGCCTAATGTCTCCCCTTAGCACAGAGGTTGAGTACATCCCTTGTGAGCTGTGCTGCAGTCAGATGTCACTAGCCCAATTCATAACCCAGTGAAATTATTTTTGCAGTCCATTTGGGGAGTTCTTTTAAGGGGAAAAGACTTTGGCTTGACTCTGAAGTTTGCTAGCTTTCACTTCAGAATTCTTTATTTTTTATTTATTTTACAAGGTTTGTACCAAGTATTTTTAGAAATGTGGAACAATCTCTCAACTTCTCATATTAAAAGTGCCTTAAACAACAGTGTTCAGTTTTCCTGTTAAAAAAATTCTATCTTGCTTTGTTACATGCCCAATTCCCTGAATAGGAGGTGGATCTCCTAAATGAAATTCACTCTTAAAATACAATTCAACACTCTTCAGACAAGGGGACCAGTAAAAACACTGCAGATTTTACTGTGGTGGCACCAAAGCTATACCAAGTACATTTCAAACACAGACAAAGAGAAAACCAGAGAAAACCATCCAAACTCTACTCTGCCCAGCAATGAAGACTGTACATGACAGAGCCACAGAGCACACTCAGTACCTAAACTGCAGAAAGTAAAACCTTCATGGGCACAATTTCACAACTCCAGGTGAGTAACTGCAGTAAAAATCCCAGACTTCTGTGTGCTTACAGCACATCATGGTGCACATCTGCAAGATCAAGCCATGCCTGATCTGACTGCCCAGACTGGGAGGGCAGCAGCAGTTACCATCTGTGACCACCAGGTATGTACTTCCTACATAAGAACATCCAGTATTTGCAGCAATATATCCAGCAACCTCACTCTGCTCCCACTAAAATCCATGTTGGGTTTATGACTACAGTGTCCAGCCTCACTATTAATTTTGCATTGATTTCCTTCTGCAAGGAACATGCTTTAATAAAAGAGCCAATCAACCAGATCACCAATAGCTGCCTACCTAACAATAAGCAGGGTATGTTCAAAGAAAGCTTTACTCCAACTTATATTCATTCCTAAGGGCTAAATCAGCTGGCTCACAACAAAGAAACAGCGTTGTTTTGCTTATCAATGTCCCACTGTTCATCTAGAACATCTGCAATAGTTTTGCCTGCAGCACTATCCCATTCATTACAGGCCTTGATAGACTGCTCAATGGGCTTTTTTTTTTTTGGTACAAAATGTACAAGGGCATTTTACAAAGTGGACTTTGCCCTGATATGAATAATTATAAAAAATTAATTTAAAAGTGCATTTCATTTCAGAGTCACCATTTTCCAAACCAACTTTTGGCAAATGGAAACAAAATGGCAACAGCTAAACCTGACAGCTCAGCCCATGGCACGAAGCAGAGGGATTCTGCAGATCACTTGTTTCTTTGCTTGGCTGCCAAAGTGCATCACCATCTACCAAAAATGCAGTTAATGAAAGACCCAACATAATAGAATGTAAATGCAGGATTAAAATATGCCATGAGTAAACAGCAAATATCCACACCCACCAAAAGCAGGCCACGCTGAGGAACAGGTGGGATTCAGAAGCTCTAAACTTGCCCCCTCCCTCCAGCAAACCAACTCATAAGAGAGAAGTGAGGCACTTACCATCATCCAGGTAGGCCTGGTCCAGGTTCTGTTCCTGTTTGATGGTGACTCCCGCTGGTAGCACCTCTTTCTGGTCACTCCCTGGTGGTCCATTTTTTGCTGCTCGCTGGCCCGAGGCTGCCTGCTGCTGAATCACCGTCGGGTACGAGCTCGGGCTTAACCTTTGTGCTTGACTGACCTGGGGCTGGCTGGATCTTGCGACACTGGATGTAAAATTTTCACAGCACATGATGTGCTGAAACTCTTGGTGACTTCCACACCTCAGCTGCTGGTTGGTTGGAGAATAGTGAATCACAGGAGATGACTGCTGGTTGCCTGGAGAGTGGTGGAGCACCGCCGGAGTTTGGCCTGGGGAACCTGCGTGCACCAGCACCGACCTGTGGGCATCTGAAATGGCAACTGGTGCAGGCATCAGGTTGGACTGCTGGTAGCCCAGCTGGCTGGGGCTCAGGCTCTTGCTCCTTTGGTAGATCACAGCGGCCGGGTTCTGCTGGTGGTATCGAGAATCAGGAGAGGAAAGGCCTGAGCGCAACTGCTGGCAAGGGGCCATAGTGGGCACAAGGCAGGAAGGGGACTCGGTGACCATTGTGTGCTGTGAATAGTAAGGCTGTGTTACTGTTCCCAGACCACTGTGTACTGTATTGCAGATTATGGCTGGATCATAGTCATCAATGGGCTCTGTTTTGATTGATGGTACTAGAATAAAGCATGCAAAGGACATTATTCGTAACGAGCTGGTGAGAAACAGAGAGGTTTTTCCTTGAAGTAATTAGAGATTAAAGCCATTTACAAGATTTGCATGTGTGAACCCGTATCTCGCAGGCACCAAGTTTAATGCATCACGTATATGCAATCATGGCAGAGTCTCTCTTGAAAACACTCTGTACTAAGAGGTTCTTGAAAATCTTTAAAGTACTAATTAACCACAAATTTCTAAAATTGGAAAATTCAATACTTCAGCTCATATTTTCATTCACTTAAGGGCCATTCTGGAACACATGCAAAATAAGAAGCCATACATAGGTGTTTCATGTAGTCCTTCCATCTCAAAGGAAGACTGAATAAATAGAAATCCTGTGTCATATGCAACTCCTCATTTTTCTGTCAAACTTTTAGCTAGACACCAAAGGCAGAGTTGAACTATTTTAGAGCTGTTGTTTTAGCTCCTTTGCTTCATGTGGATTCCTCAGTGCTGAGAACTGAAGATCTTTCTGACATCATCATCTAAAAGATCAGGATTTAGCGAGAGTTGTGTGAATCTTGGTAGGATAAATGATGGTCCTCTACAGGCAAATTCTCACATTTCTAATGTTTTTTTTTTTGTCGAATCTTCCCCAAAACTCACTACAGAAACACCATACAATGGAAACTATATAATGGTCATGCCAAAGGATTGTTTTTTGGAAGTGTAAGGATTCCTTTCCCTACGTGATCTATTTTAAGGATTGTATTGAGATAGAAGTGTACTTCTCAATACTATTCCAAAGCAGAACAGTTTAGCAACTACACAAAACTTTCGCACTGGTGATTGGTTCATAAATTCAGGGAGAGGACCAGAGATTTTCAGGCTGGAGGAGACCAAAATAAGAATCAGAATGAATGTTTGCCTGTCCTTAGAGACAAGTCAAATTAAGATATCATTTGATGCTTGCATAAAATCTGGTACTGTTATTTTATGCTTTCTGGTTTCCACAAACACAATACTCTGATTTTCTCACAATATTTTTCTCTCAGCCAAAGCTGAGAAATTCTGGGAATCTCATTAGTAATCCTATTGCATTTATTGTGACATGGCTGACCAATTCCCAAGAGGAAGAACATCAGAAAAGCATTCATATTTTTCTCTACCAGCCTTGTCCTGAAGAATATATATTGCTTGCCTTCCTCCATACCAAGGCCTTGTTTCCCAGATCTGATGTTATCTTACTGCTGGACACGTCAGCTGGGAAGGCAACACTCATGGTTTTCATAGGGGTCACACCATGCCACAGACCGAGTCTGTTCCCACTGAGGCTTTGGCAAACTTCCCTCAAGTGAATGGGGCAAAATCAGCCCATTGCCAAGATAACTGTCACCTCAAATTCATGGCAATTCCTGATCATAAATCACACGCATCCTTCAAACCAAACAGTTGTTGAGCACTTAGCTGAATTAAATCAGTGACATTTAGATCCTCAAATAACAGCAAGAAAACAACACAGCAGAAAATCAAATCTTGCTCATGAGAGCTAGGCAACAACTGGCTTGAGAATTACCTGGCTGGTAGGTAAAATGCTGGGGTTGGCTTCTTTTTCTTTTCCCATTGATGACATAGAAGTTCACCTTCACGGCTGTGCGGATGTGCTTGTTACGGTACTCAGGTATTTCTACAAAAAGCATGCTCTGAAACAACAGAGGGTGACAACAAAGAATTACTAACTGAGGCTGACTGGAGATGTCTGTGTGCATCTCCCCTTGCTACACGTCCAGGCACAAAGGAAGAGAAATCTTCCCCTTCATCACTATAAAGGGTATGAGAATAAGAAAGGAAAAAAGGGCAGATGGTGCAAGATAAAGATTTTTGGTACTGGCAAGCTGGTTTCTATGTACTGAATCCTCTCTTGCACTTGATGTTGTCCTGAACTTGGAAAGAGAAGCCTCAGCTACAAATAAAACACACAAAATGGTGATAAAAGCAGCAGCACTGTTAATCACGCCAGGCTTGACAAACAAGTGTGCACTACAGAATTCCCTCTTTTTGTCAGAATGAACTTAATCATTCCATAGGCTTTTCACTTATACACATCCGGATCCCACTTCCACGGAAATTAGGAGCAAGTCTCCCGTTCCCTTCCGCCGGGGCAGGCATGGCCCTTGGCAGTGTCAGGGCAGCTCCTAAATGCACTGACTGACTACAGGAAGGTCCCGTTAAGCAAAGTGAACAAAGAGGCTCATTCCCTTGAAAGATCAGTGTTCATTCGAAACACTGTAGGACAAATCCTGTCCTGCAAAGAGCACAGCACCCAAGGCTTCCACGCAGGCAAAGGAAGCCAGGACAGCCAGCATCCTGCAGAGGGCTGGGCTGGTACAATAGAGTCTTCTGCAAGAACACAAAATCCAGCAGTTATTCAGTTTGCTGTGGGGTTGCCGCTAAATGAATCGCCTCTTTTTGCAACACATCTACTGCTGGAGCATTTGACATTTGTTCATCCCAGCAGCAAGATTGCTGCTCTTTCTGCTTTTGAGATGCTCTTTCAAAACTACCCCTCGAGTACAACTTGCTCTCTGAGAAGCTCGAGGAGAGGACATCCAGTGCTTTGCATACTTACAGGCTGGCTCTTGTCTTTGTCCACTGTTGCCTCCATTTCCCAGATCTGCTGCCCATCTGGAAGAATATCACAATGTTAACCTCACTGTAATTTTTTCTTTTAAAATCACAGAACTTGACTTAAAAAAAAGGATACAAATTAAGGGCATCAACTTAGCAAAGCTCTCGAAATGGACTTAATTCCAAGCACCTTCCCAGTCCTAACCAAAAGCAACAGCATTTAATTTAAACACATCATCAAACACTTCTCTTGCCAGGAAAAAGCCAAGGTACATATTAAAATTAAATGTTTATGTAGAAATTAGCCAAACTGAGGAATGAAATATTTAGCACAGGTGCAACATCTGTTTTTTACCAGACTTGAGTTCAGCCATCCTGACTGATGGAGGGCATCAGAAGGTCAGATAACTTGTTAATGGTCACTTTCTGCCATTTTAAGCCAAGACCACATGGTTTCCCATGGAATGCCAGCGACAGTCCTAAAAAGCACCAAATATTCACTGTACTCAGGGTAAAAGTACTTCATTGCATGTGTGACAGCCTCTGCCTCTGAACCACTGGAACTCTTTCTGCTCTTAATCACATCCAGGCAGCTCTTCTCCATTCTGAGCTCCACAAAACTGTATTTACAGAAGACAATAAAATTTGATCCCCTTGTATTGAACCCCACCAAAGTAACCCCTGTGCTGTAAGAGTACATCAGTAGTAACAGGACATTCATACATAAAGGTGTATGAATGGGTGCTTCATCTGGTTACAAATATTCCTTAAATCTACTGTCTCCCCAGAAACATTTTTTAGCAATGCTTTCCTTCTCGCTTTATTTTTTTTAGATTTTAATCTTTACCCCTTTGATTTTTGTATTCCGTTGAGCCTTTTAGGCAAGCAATTTGTAGAAGAAAAATACTGACGGGGGGAAAAAGAAAATAAAAATTGCCTCATACCTTTCTGAAAGTTTGATTTTAGAATGACCAGGGGACACGTCTCCAAAGGCCCCGACGTGACTGGGAATACTGCAGCCTGAGGCTGTGTTTGCTTTAGGGGGGAGGCAACTCCAGGCATGTTTCTTTGGGGGTTCCCCAGGCTGCCTGCCCAGGCTGGGCAGGATAAGGGTAGAAGTCTCCTGAAAACAGTCCTTCTCACAGGACTTTTTATTTTTCCCAATTCTTGGAAGTTCTGCAAGAGCTGCTTTTGTCCTCTGTTATTTAAGTACTTCTGCTTCTGGCGAAAAGGGAAATGAAAGAGTATTTTTAAATGCATTTTGCATTTTTTCTGTTGTTTTCCCCTTTGTTCTGTGCTGGGCCCAGACAATGAGCTGACAGATGTGCCGGGCTCTCCAGGCGGCCTCAACCCAAGATGGGCTCAGTGGCTGCTCCATGGCCAGGACACAGCTCTTGGGGGACCCTGCCTGCTCCAGCTCTGTGTCCTCTCAGCCTGGGGGTCCTTCCCAGTGTGCCAGAACCTCACCTGTCCCACCACCCCACACCTGAGACACCTCTGCTGTGTTCTGGTCCCTGAGCACACACTGGGGATAGACGGGTTTTCCTTGAGGGCATCACCCACAGCGTGTCCCTTCCTCCCTCGGGATGGGCACCTGGATTGTGGTGGGGCAGGAGTGGGCACCCAGTGCTGATTGGGCCTCCTCATCCCAATCCTTCCCACTGGGGAAGTGTAGGCAACTGAGGAATAGCTGGAAGTTTGGTTTCATCCATCAGTTGCCTGTGAGGAGGAGAGGGGGAGAGATATCCCAGGCTTCCAGCTCCTCACCCAGCTACTGCCAGAGCATCCTGCTGCAGGAGGAGACATGAAGAAACTTGGACTTTTTTCCTTTTTTAAAGTGTTTCAAGTTCCCCCCCAGTGAGTCAGTTGTGTTTTCTACACTAATATGTGGATGAGTGGCCCTGGAGCTGGGATGGCCTAAGCTGTGTCACTGGAGCCAGTGAGGCTCTCACCCCACATCCCAAGGGACTTCTGTGCAAAGGGATGGAAAATACTCCACTATTTAATGTAATTTAACATAAGCATTCACTTTGGTCACTGCTCTGGGCTGTTGCACGTTCAGTCTATACCCCTATTAATGCATCTTACTGCTGTTGAGGCAGCAAACATGTCAGGGAAGGGAGAAGCCAAAATACCGAGGGTTTAATCCAGCAAATACTTGTCCAGATGACAAAGCAGTAAATACTCAGTGGGGGGATTCCTCTTCTAGGTGACCTTTGCAAAAAGAAACCACCACAGTGTGTGTTAAGGAACCTCCCCAGGCTCCAGGAAAAGAAACCCAAAGTATAAGTTTTTATAGTCCTCTGAGGAAAAGAGGAGGGAAAGGAAACACATATGTCATAAAATATGAGCTCTGATAGAGACACACATCAGAACTGCCTCAGCAAAGCAATATGAAGATGTCCTGACAAGAAGGACAGCCAAGAAGGAATATTTTACACTGGTTTTGCTCCAGGCAGAATGTTTTCATCTTTGTTTCTGTACTGCTAAATTCAAACAGTCTGTGCAGATACAACAGCACTAACTTCACAAAGAAGGTAGAAATCAAAAGGATTTGTTGGTCCAAAATGCATAAACTAAAGTAGAAAGGGGGTTCCAAGTCATCTGCCATATTCCAGAGGCCTGTGAAGCACATGCAACCACAACACAGTGGATTTGATTTAGTAACTGAGCCACTGAAATTGCACTAAAAGCTAATGAAGCCAACCATACAAATCAAATGATGTTTAGCCTGAGTCCAAAGCCTGTGAGGATCAAGAGTAAGAATGAGAATAAGTCTAACCAAACAAGAAATAAATGTATTTGGGGCTATCATTCTAACAATGATAGATGCTTCTGTTTGGATATATATTCATACTGGTGGCAGCTAAACAGGTTTCTAACAAATCTGTCAGCAGCAGCAATCCCTGTTCTTTGAGCACTGAAGCCCTGTTGAATTTAACCACTCTGCAGTTCACTCCCTGACCTTTATGCTTAAATATGATGATGTGGCTCCATCTGTCTCACTGCTTCACTTTAGCTCGAGACAATCAATATTTGCTTTTCCTTTAACCACTCTGGATACACACATTATGGTGAGCTTTTGGCAGAAGGATGAGGGAGGCTGTGAATAAAATGAAAAATACAACTGCATTCAGAAATCTCTCCCTCCTTTAACCCATTCTTTTTGCTGGTAATGAAAAGAAAACTTTTGATTATGCACACTCAGGGAATTAACAGAGAGTAGAAGGAATAAACCGAGAAGGTTAAGGATCACCTGAGAAAATTTTGAACAGAGAAAACCTGCACCAAACTGTCAACAGATCATCTTCAGAATGAGCAGAAATCAGAATACTCTTAGGAGGAAATTAAAGTGGACGTTTGAAGAAAGTTATCTGCAAAAACGAGATTCTTATTGTAAAAGTCATAATGCTCTACCATGATGTGATGGCAGAGCACAGCCCCCAGTTCAAAACATGTGTCACAACTTGGGTGAACTGTGGTGGGTTCTTCTCTCCAGTGCCAGTGTCACAACTCAGGTGGTGCCTCAGAACCACAGACAAATTCAGCTTTGAGCAGGAGGTTGTGCTCAGCGACCTCCCGAGGTCCCTTCTGGCCTCAATTACCCTGTAATTCTGTCATGCCACAAAAGGGACAAATGACTGGTTCCCTCCTGCTTGGAAACCGAGAAGATTAAACCCCAGCCTGACTAATAATTTAATCTAAAGTCTACAAGTACAGATAGCTCTCTATTGCTATAATTAGACCTGCTTCAACAATGGATAGGGAAGAAAACTGCAAAAGAGCAACAGCACCATTTCTGCTGAAACACTGTAAGAGCACAAGCACAGAAATACAGAGAGGGTGTGCTCAGCAAGCCACAATCAGTGCTGGGCTGCCCCAGCACCAGCCAGGGCACTGCAGGGATGTCCTGGGACATGCTTGGATCACACAGGAATTTGGTGTCATGTCCACGTGTGTGGCATCTTTCAAATTCTGACTCCACTATGGAGAATTCAATCCGCGCCTCTGGAAAGAGCAGTAGTTCCATTAAAGACGATAAAATATTTCTGGATGTGGACTCTGAGGTCTTACCAGCCATGCCTGCCTCATGCAGTATTTTTACTGTTGTGGTTCCCTGCTCATTTAATGGTTTGTCTTAGTTGGCAAGTCTTTAACACCACAGGTCAGTGAAATGTTCAGGAAATAGAGATTTTTGTGCTGTTTCAGGGCTATGAGACTTAGTATTAAACCCTGATGAGAGATCTGATTGTGTCAGCACTCTTTGGAGGAATGAATGAGTTGTTGGAAGAAAGTAATTCTACCCTTTCTAACTCAAACTGTGATCATACCAAAAGTCTTGCTTCAAACTGGGGAAAATCAAAATGTCAGCCTGCATTAGGAACATTTTGGGTGATTCTCTGCAGCCCCTTATAGGCCCTTTTTTAATTAGCCAATTAAAGGTTTTCTGAACCAGTTACAGCCTTTACACATTATTCACGACCCCTTACTCATGACTTTGGGGTCAGTAACTCGCAGAGAAACAAACTTACTGCTTTATTTGAACAAGCATGACTGATGGACTGAGAGGTTCAGGAAATTTTCTCTGCAGTTCTCTCCAGCTGAAGACTAAATATACTATTGTGCTGATTCTGTATGGGATTCTATGCCTGCATATGATTTTATGCCTGAAAACGTACATTGATTTTCAGTCAAGCATTACACAAATTACTTAATGAACAACCTGTTGCCTTTCTCCCAGGCAGCAAACCATGCTAGTTCCCCAAGGAAACTGAGCTTGGTAACTGCTGGGACAGCTGCTGCAACTACACATTCCTGCAGAGTTCCCTATTCACGGTGTTTCTTGGAAGGTCTTCCAAAAAAGCACAACGATTATCTCTGTCAGCTTTTATCAGTAGATGACAGACATCTCTGGAAAACAGACAAGGTTTTTCAGAGCCACCCCAAGAACAAAAGAGAGAGCAATGAATGCTTTCCAGCAGAAAAGACACCACTCTGGGATGTGGAAACCTTAAGGGCACGGAACGCTCACTCAACATCTCTGCTGCCCTTTTCAG